AGGAATAATCCTCTCCAGTTAGAAGCCAACAAACCAATGGGCTTCTAGAGCACACAAACCCAGGTCGGATGCTGTCAGACAATTGGTAACAGGCCAGGTTAATAAGTAAAGCATCATACATTCACCATGTCAGATTCTAAAATACTGGCTTTACATACCTCTTACCATTTAACCCTCATAACACTTCTGCAAGGTAGGAATTATTTTCTATATTTTACAAAGAGATGGTTGCTCAGAAGGGTAAGTAAATTGGCCTGATGTGACATAGCTTGTTCAGTGGCAGAGGTGGAAGAGATTTGAAATTGCTTTGTAAAGTGCTTAAGCCCAAGTACTCATCACCATACAGCCCTGACCCACAGGAATTCAGAGACAGGGAAGTCACAGACACTAGGAGGGGTCAAGGAGGTCAAAATCAAGAGTGGAATCCACCGTTCATCATTTGGCCTTTAATGCAACAGCAGGAAGTTAAAAGGTGGAATCTGACCATTTGCATTGATTTTTCCATGCTTCTCATGTTTCCTTTCCCTGGATCCACATTCTGTGGTTTATAGTACATGTTTCTGTCTCCCCTGATTGGTCCAGGGACCCTTCTAAATTCCCTTATCTGGAATGTTAATCTCCACCCTGCAAGTTCTCTTGGTCTCAGTGTATCATATACGACATAGCCACTCCACCAATGCTAGTTGGAAACTTTAGCCTACAGAGTAGCTTCCAACTATTCTGACTTCCTTTTTCCTGCTGCCCCTTAGCGTCATCCCTCTAGCCCACTGGGACAAGGTTAAGACACATGCAGGAGGTCACAGCATTCCTAAACACTGTAAAGCTGTAGGCTAAGCAAAAATTTCAATTCTAATAAGACATTCTAATGACAAGGAACTTGAAAACCCCTCATCCCTTTTTCTTTGGTTCTGAAAGAGGCCATGACTCAACCCGGTCAAACACCCAGACAGATTCTATCTGTTAAATGACAAATAAAAAGAGCAAGGGCCCTTTTCAGATATTCAGACTTAAGTGGAAATTTACACTGCTGGCCTACAGCCCATTGCTGATAAAACGTTTTCCCTCGGCCAGAAAATTCTGGCAACTCCTCCTTCTCGGGTTCTATTTGTAGATTCAGCAGATGCACCAATACCTTTCCTCTTCTCAGGGCCAACCTGTCAGTTACTAACTCCCTCTGGTTTTCCTTGGATTCCACACTTTGCCTAGCAAGTGCTTAATTGCTGCTTTAATGCCAGTTTAATTCTCTCTCCATTATTCCCTGAACTCTGACAGCCCCATTGCATTTCTCCCCTTTAATGTTTAATGCGATGATGACTGTTGCTGATCAGGACTAAATTTTACCCTAGGATGCCCAGGGAATAAATGTTTTTATTAAGAGTACAAGAGAGGGAAAGCCATTCTGAAAAACAGAAAAGATTCCTGTGATGTTCCTCTGGAGACTCATTGAGCGGAGAGCAGAGCTGACTTGTGGTTATTATTTGATCAGCTTGAGCTAATCTGTGTTGATGCCTCCTGCCAAGTCCTACCATTTGAGTGTGATTTCCCATCTACTAATACATAATGTATAGATCTGGATATAGGCAAATCAATTATCCTGCCCCTAAGAAGCAAAGACAAACTAATGGAAACATTAGCCTAAGACTGCAGGAAAATTGCAGTATTGAATACCTAGGTGTGTGCGTTTTATAAGTGTGTATGTTGGTGGGGAGTGAGCTGTCAAAGAGGAGGGAGGCAAGGAAAGGGGTTCAGAGAACAAAAAGGGGAAATGAGAGACAAAATCACATCACCTGAGGCCACAATGACCTGCCTGTTTCACATGGAGGGCATCTGATCATAAAAACAAAAATTCTTGTAAAACAATACCCAGACAATTCTAGGAAGCTGCGCTTTCTTGTGTTAAATTATCAGATGCAGCAATATATGTATTTAGCTCTATTGAGCCAAACTAAAGATCGGCATGAACATACACTAGAGAAATGATGAGTAACAGGGTGTCCTAGGGAAGATTGTCTCTGCCATGCTTGAATTCTTCAGTTCACAAGAAATCTGAAAACTGATGGCACAGATACAATGTCTTAATATCCATGGGGGGTTAGAGGATGTGAAATTGAAATGGGTTGGGGGTACTCTTGAAAGCTGGCTGAAGGGTAATTGCATGCGTGTAAAGCTAGTTTAAATCTATCACTCTCCAAAGATTGATTTTTAAAACTTTAAAAACACATATTGTGCCCTTGCAGTTATTTGAACATAAAAATGTTACTGGATGGGTTACTTTTCAAAAAATACAGACTTTCTAGGTGAACTTAATGCATAATTGTATGATTTAAGACACTTGCGAGAAGCAAGTTTGCATATTATTAAGAATCCCTAGGACTGAACTCATACAGTGAGCTAACATACAGTAGGTATTTAAGAAATGTTTAAATTGAAAAATAGATGAGTGAATGAATGAAAGGTATAATATGCATTCAGCTACAGCATTCCATAAGCATGTGGGTATAGGCAGACAATACTTTAAAATATTTTAAAATTATAATAACATTTTTACAAACATATTTTAAATGTTTATGATAGCTTTCCAGTATTTGGTAGTGAATTTATCTGTCTCTGAATAAAGCAGAAACCAGATGAGAGCCCTATGTTTGTGAGTGGAATACAGAAACGACTTTTTGAACTTTTCATTTGGGAAGTCATAACCTTTCCAGCTGATATGAGACTCAACTATAACACACCATTAAGAAAATGCAAGTGAAGCAGACATCAGCTGACACAATAGGATCTGTGATACTGAGAGTGGAATTTGGACAGGTAAGGAAAATTCTAGATGGTTTAAAGGATACAGAAAAACATGTTTGCTCTAAAACAAATACTGCATTTTGATGGTTACCTGTAAAGCTCAATGTCTTAAATTTTTGTCAGACAGAATACTACAATGATGGAAACACAAATATGGAAACACATTTTTATGCTACCATTACAAAGAGCTCCCATGTATTGAATGTCCTGTGCTATGCACTTTGTGTGATTCATTAAACACTCAAAACAACCTGAAGCTGAATGTCACAATCTCTGTATTACAAATGAGGAAACTGATGTACAAAAGGTAAACTAGTTGTCAAAGGTAGTATAGCCATTGTGTGACAGAGTTGAGATTTGAACCCAAGACTGATGCCAAACTCAGCTTTCGATCTCCATGAATACTGCCCTTTGTTTCTAGGAGAACACATGAATACAGAAAATTAATGTTTTATTAGTTTTCACGAATCCATTTTAGTAACACACTTTCAGATTTACAGCATCTGTGTGAAGGTCCTGTAAGGGATACTGGGGATATGAAGTCAAATAAACCATAGTCCCTGTCCTCAAGAAACTCATAATCTAAAACAAGAAATAGACATTGGCACGATGAAATGTAGCACAGAGGCCCAGTGGCTTTCCTGGTAATACAACTGAATGAGGAAGTAACTGCCTATGTAGAGAAGGTATCAAAACGATTTTTTTTTCATTAAAGAATCATGAATATTCTTAACTGGCATAATCAATATTAAGTACTAAGGCAAACACAAATTTGCCCAGTGAGGTAAATTTCTAATTCTGTTGCTATGATTTGTTTCTGTGCAGAATCTTACACAACTTTCAAATGTTTTATGAACTATAGTATGCCATATCAAAAATTAAATTGTAAGAAAAGACTCCTTAAAAAACTGAGGCAAAAAAGCAAGAATACATTTAACAACACAATGATAATTATTGCCAACAATAAAATTCCACTATTTTACTTAACTAAATCAACACTTTAGGAAATACACACAGCATTCTTTATTATAAAGCTGACTCAGTCTTTATATAAAATAAAAGGGATTTTCAACATGTCATTAAACTGCAGGCTAATGTATTTACAGATAAACAATTAAAAAGCAAAAATAGGTCAAAGAACACTAAATAAGTTATTGAAAGAGAAAATATGTTCTTGATAGTGACCATGCAAAAATCTTTATGTATGCCTTAGTATCTAATAGTGACTGACATGCATAATAAGAAAAATATCAGCCAGGTGTAGTGGGTCCCACCTGTAATCCCAGCACTTTGGGAGTCCAAGGCAGGTGGATACCTTGAGTCCAGGAGTTCGAGACGAGCCTGGGCAACATGGAGAAATCCGTCTCTACAAATATACAAAAATTAGCCAGGTGTGGTGGCGCACCTCTGTGGCCGCAGCTACTTGAGAGGCTGAGGTGGGAGGATGGCTTGAACCTGGGAGGCTGAGGCTGCAGTGAGCTGAGATTATGCCACTGTACTCCATCCTGGGCTACAGAGAGAGACCCCATTTCAAAAGAAAAAGAAAAATGTCTACAGGCAGCTCTACAAACACAGAGAAATTCTTACTAGGAAAAGAGCACTGTGAACCAAAATAATTCAGTTAGAAAGATTTAGTGTAACTATAAGAGAGATTTAACTCAAAGATATTTGCAGAGATGTAAATTTCAGCAAAGTTTTGCAGCCATAGAGAACTTTTCTCTGGATTTTATAAAGAATTATTTTCCTTATTAAAGGCTATATATGAGGGCTAGACAAAGAATTCTTAGATAGGTACAAAAAGCATAGTCTATCAAAGAAAAATTGATAAAAGAAAGCTTTTATTTAATAATAATTGAGATTTTCTTTTTGAACAACACTGTTAAGAAAGCAAAAATAAAAGCCATAAACGGGGAAATATTTGGAAAATATACATATCGGAAAATGGACTGATATCCAGAATATATAAAGAACTTTCACAACTTAATTAGAAACAACCCAATTAAAAAGGGAAAGGATTTAGACACTTTATCAAAGAAAATAAATGAATAGCAAATAAGTATATGGAAATATGCTACATATCTTGTGATTTGTTGAACACCTACTCATACCTAATAATTTCATTAGTTGTTAGGAAAGTGCAAATTAAAACCACAATGAGATATTACTACACACCTGTTAGAAGGGCTACATTAAAAAGACTGACCATGTTACATGTTGGTGAGGATGTAAAGCAACTGTATTTCTCACACACTGCTAATAAGAATGTAAAATCCCTGTCTGCCCTTAGACCTGCTGCCCAGCACTCCTGCAGTTCATGCCCTCGGACCAAGCCTGCAGGCATGCCCATGTCCACCTACCTGAAAATGCTCGCAGCCAGCCTCCTGGCCATGTGCGCAGGGACAGAAGTGGTGCACAGGTACTATCAACTGGACCTGCCCATACCTGAAATTTCACCAAAGCCTGGAGAGCTCAAAACGGAGCTTTTGGAACTGAAAGAAAGAAAACACAAAACTCAAGTTTCTCACCAGAAGGAACTTAAATAACTATGCCAAGAATTCTGCAAATAATATTATAAGTCTTAAATATGTATTTCTTAACTTAATGCATCAAACTACTTGTCCTTAAGCACTTAGTCTAATGCTAACTGCAAGTGGAGATGTTCAGTGGATGTTTAGCTGATACCTTGAAATTTAATCACGGTTTAACTGATATTTCTTGAAAACTGGCAAAACACATATCAGCTTCATGAATATGGTTTGGAAGATGTTTAGTCTTGAATATAATGTGAAATAGAATACTTTTAAGTCAACGATATGGGTTGTCTTTATTTCATATAAATTTTTAAAAAATCATTTAAAACTAAAAAAAGAAATGTAAAATCATGCAACACTTTGGAAGACAGTTGGCAACTTCTTAAAAAGTTAAATATACACTCAGTACATGACCCAACTATTCCACTTCTAGGTAGTTACCTAAGGGAAATGAAAGCATATGTGTACACAAAAACTTCATGAATGTTCATAGTCACTTTATTGGTATTAGCCAACACTGGCAGGAAAATGCTTATTAACTTATAAGTGAATAAAGTGTGGCATGTCTATACAATAGAATCTTACTTAAAAGCAAAAAGGAACAAATTATTGATGCATGCACCAAGGATGAAGCTCAAAAGCTGTATGCTAAGTGAAAGATGCCAGATTTAAAAAGAACATACTATACATATCGTTTATGTGACATTTTAGAAAAGACAAAACTACAGTTAAAGAAATGCACAAATAGTTGTCAAAGGCTTAAGAGTTGGGGGAGGTGGAGATTAACTACAAAGGGACATGAAGGAAATGTTGTGAGTGATGGAACATTTTGATGTACATTGTGATTGTGGATGCAGTTATACAACTGTATATTTTTGTCAAAATTCATAAAACTTTATCAAAAAGGATAAATCTTACAGTATACAAATTATTATTATTATTTCTTTTTTGGAGGGGAGCGGAGTCTCACTCTGTCATCCAGGCTGGAGTGCTGGGGCACGGTCTTGGCTCGCTGTAACTTCTGCCTCTGGGTTCAAGCGATTTTCGTGCTTCAGCCTCCAGAGTAGCTGGGACTACAGGCATGCACCAGCATGCTAATTTTTGTATTTTTTTTCTTTTTTTTTTATTTAGCAGAGATGGGGTTTCACCATGATGGCCAGGCTGGTCTATAGCTCGTGACCTCAGGTGATACGCCCTCCTTGATCTTCTCCCAAAGTCCTGGGATTACAGGCATACGCCACCACACCCAGCCTCTTACTGAATACATATTAAACATCAATCAGCTTGACTTTAATAAAATAAAATACATGTTATATTTATCTGACTTACGTTTAAAGTTTAATAACAGAAAAGTATTTTGCATAACCTGGATTCCAAATAGGACTGCCATATGTAGTAAACCAAATATTATCATTTAGTCAATAGCAAAAACAAAATTGTTTCCTCAACTTATGAGTAAATGGTTTTATGTTTTTAAAAATAATTAATGATGAGATGCTAAATCTCAAAAATTCCTCCCCTGTAAAAGAATGCATACTAAGCTAAACAGAGGTTTTTCCATTATATACCTTGGAGTTGATCATTCTCAGCTAATCTTTTGTCACCTTCAGAAAGCCCCAAGTTAAATACCTCTCTTAGGAATTGTAAAACATAGCAATCTGAACCAAGTGGATTCCACCAGTTACATTCATGCCTTCTCAGAGTGAACAAAATATGGCAATTAGTGGGAGCACCCTTTATATAATTCTAATTTTAAGGATTATTTTAACCTGCATGCATGACATGTTACCTCTGGTCTGTCTACAGAACACTCTAATGAGCAGAGATGAAAGAAGAGTCATGCTTTCAAGGGCGAACCTACTGAATAACTGCAGCAAATGCACACTCATGAAGACTGACATTCCCTAGTTGATTCCAGCTCACTGTGTGCAATCTGAAAACTAAGCAATTGGCTCTGACTGAGAAAGAATATAACTTCTCATTATTGTTTCTGAGCTTTCTGAAACAGAGTATCTGGCCTGGCACATGATAGATATACTTACTTCCCTCTGTTTATTTTCATCTCATTGTATGGAATATTTCCCATAGAGGACTCACAAGGGGGAATGCAGGAAGTTGCCTTAGGCACTAGCAGAATGGCCTAATCATTTAATTTTTTGCAGAGCTTATGGAAGGATTCACGTCAAGGGAAGAACAGCAGCTGCCCCTAGAGCAGCTGATACTTAGCATGGCACTAGAGTGACACATCCATACATCTTAATAAAGCACCATGCATTAATCTATTAGTAGGAACTCAAGGAAATACTCCAGTGGCCAAAACAGAGTGAGGCTGTGGTAAAGACTAACAAGATGAAAGAGCAAGAAGTATTACAAAGAAACTTAGTAATAATGTTTTCTCTCTTACAAAGAATTCTCCATCTTCAAAATTGAGAAGAATGCTTTACTATAAAGGAATTATTGTTGGAAGAGTCATCTGGGTGTAGGGAATTGAAGGACAGGAAGCTGCCCAAGCAAGTGACATATGTATTGAGGTTACTCGTCCCTACTGGTATACGGGAAATCAATAGGAACTGCAACTGCCAGCTCCTGGAATTTCAAAAAAAAAAAAAAAAAAGGAAATAAAAAAAAAAAAAAAAAAAAACAAAAAAAAACTTAATTTTGTAAAACAGAAAAGCATTATGTAAGTCAAAAGGTGTGGAGGGGACAAATAGAGATGGTTGACCAGGTTTTTTGAGGTCTAGAGTCAAATCTGTTTACAAGCAATGGGGTAGGGTCAAGTGGATGGTAGTCAGTAATGGTACTGCAGTGGGAACATTGAACTTAGCATCAAAACAATTACATTTGATTTTTATTATATCACTTGCTAGCTGAGTGACCTTTGGCAAGTTACTAAACTTCTCTGGAATGAAGAGAAACAATGAATATGAGTGTCTGGCACTAGCAAACACCAAGTAGAACTTCACTTGATTTGTGCATCTATTGTGGAGACGTCAATGCATGCAGTTCAGTTTCATGTGATGAACATTTATTTTTTCATTTACTATCATAAGCAGTTCAATGAGATAGCACTCATCAGTCAAGAGGTCAATACTTTTCCTGAGTAGGACCACTCAGGCAGGGTCATTCTTTCAGTTGACCCACTTAAATTCTTAATATACACTCCCTTTGCTTACGTGTACTTACTGGTAAATTACTTTGTAAGCATTCTTATACCTGTTCATGTGTGCATGCCCTGTCTACTCAATTAGGATTATTGACTTACTGAGCCAGAAGGCATTTTAGAGAACTAGGCCAAATGCTTCATTGTTCAAGTGGGAATATTGAGGTCCAGGGAAGTGCAATGACATGTCTCAAGTCATGTGTTGATTAGTGACTGAGTCAGTATCAGGATCCAGTTCTCTTGGCTTCCTAGTCAATGTTTTCTTCTCCCATATTATCACTCCAAACTATTCTAAAAATAAGCATTTGAGGACAATAACAAGTTTGGCTGCTATTGTTGCTTATTCCTAGTGTTTGGCACACTTTTGTACAACCTAATAACCAAAGACATTAAAAATTTTCAACATTTATAAATTATTCTATTCAGTAATACCAGAAATACTTTCTAATGCTCAATTTGTTCGATAAATCACATTCTTTCTTCATGAGGTTAATAATACTATCACAGATACAGGTATCATTATGCTTTATAAAATGAGGTTAATAATACTATCACAGATACAGGTATCATAATGTTTTATAAAACACTTTCACATCTATTGTCATATTTGATCAGTTTAGAAACCTTGGGGAAAAATCAGAGTAGGCGTCTTATTCTCATTTTACATTTAAAGAAATGAAAGTCCACGGAGGCTAAATAATTTTCACAGCTACTAATTGATGGAACTGGCATGCCAACTAACTCAGGTTTTCTGGTTTAATAACTCCACTGTTCTATGCTGCATCCCATTTACAGGTACACTTTTAATAAACTATTACCTTTGATTATCTGTATTGTATTCGTCAGATTCTTCAGTGTATAAATGACTAAAACCCAATTAAAACAAGTTTAAAAACAACAAAAAAGGCAAGGGCCAGGGAGGACTGGCAGAATGCAGAACTCACTGGCTTACGATCACTAAACCATAGGGAAGGCAACGATGTAGCAGCCTGAAGAACAGTCCTAATTCTAATCTTCACAGCTTTATCACCAGGACAAAGGGGACTTTTCCTTCCCAGTTCTGTTCGGAAACCATAAGGAACAATTATAATAGAGATCGGGGATCAACTTGTATCCTATGTTTACCTTTTTTAAACCACTTTATGGATGTATGATTGACAGATTAAAAAGCTGTATATATTTAATGTATACAACTCAACGAATTTGGGGATAAGTATAAACTATGAAATCATCACCACCAAGGCCATAAACATCCATCACTTCCCAAAGTTTCCTGCCATTTCCTTTATTATTATTTTATGTGTGTGTGTGCATCTGGTAAAAACACTTACATAAGCTCTACCTTCTTAGCAATTTTTAAGTCTACAATACAGTATTATTAGCTATAGGCATTATGCTATATAAGAGACTTCTAGAACTTATTTATCTTGCCAGCAGGCAGGTGATGGTGAAAGGGTACAAAGCTTCAGTTATTTCTTAAAGTCTTAGACCAGTCATTTCAGCCAGGGTCTAGTATCAGAAAATTGAGAGATGGAAACTAGGCAGAAAAGAAATCAATACTTGTTTACTATTCTTATGCTCAGACAGCAATGGAACAATTGGCTATAAAACGAATAATCCAAAGAAATAAAATATCTGGTTTGTTGCATTTGCTGATTGCTTTCTCTTTATTTTTTCCTTTTTCCTTTTATATGAGACAGTGTCTCACTCTGTGCCCCAGGTCAGAGTGCAGTGGTGTGACCCCAGATCACTGCCTCCTTGAACTCCTGGGCTCAAGTGATCCTCCCACCTCAGCCTCCCGACATTTGCTGATTTCTAATAAATAAAATTTGCATTTATTAATATTCCCACCATGGCTGTTTTCAAGGTACCAACGTGACATCAGTCAGCTCATAAGATTCTTAACAACATAGGAATTAGATCTTGTGGACCAGTAGGAATCAGTCTCAGCACACCATGGCATTCAGCACTGATTCATCATACTCTGACCTAAGCAGATCAATAAATTCATAGAAGTCACCAGTTGACTGGCAGATGTACATTTTCACCTCTGGAAAGGGGAAACAATTCAATTCAGCAAGCATTTATTTAGTGCCTTCTAAATGACAGGCATTGGGTTGCCAATATGACAATAAAAAGATATTTTCCCACCCTCAAAACTTTAAGGAAGA